TAACATCTGTATCCATATAATATAAAAACCTGATAGCTGGCTCCCAGCATGATGCTGCTGATTCAGAGGCATTAGGCCCCAGCCTCTCCTTGTTCTCTCTCAACTGGCTGAGGTGTTGGTGTCCCAGAATCCACTTGGAGACCTTGACACCCTTGCAAAACCCTGCAGGGTCTCCCTTAAGAGAAAGGGAACTGGCCTTCCCCAGTCATCTCAACGAAAGTTCCCACGATGTCGGCTCCTAAATAGTTATGGCTGGTTCAGGCAGTGTTGATTGTCTGAAGTTTTGGGCCCCGCCCTGAAACTGGGGTGGAGTGAGGTCACTCTTGGAAAGGTCAAGGGAAGATGTCTCCCAGGAAGGGAGCAGTGCTGGGCAGGAGAGAAGAGCCTGGATGCTGAGTGAGCAGCCTGTAAGTGCCTACTAGATCTCCGGTGCTTGACAGACATCCTGCTGATGGAATGAGATGCTGCCTCCAGCCACAATGAACTCGGGGGTACAGCTGAATAGATGGGTGGCTTGCTGAGACAAAGAAAGAACTAGCACACACTACAATGAGAATATCCCAGAATGCTTTGAGAGCATATAAGATAGGATTTCCTCCATACTTGATGGGAAGGATTGGCATGGGGAAGCCAAGGAAGAAATCCTGGTGGAGGTGTTGCCCAGGGACCTAAGTCTGGGTGATGAGAGTCGGTGAGAAGGAAAGCTGCTTCAGGCAAACTTGGAAGACAGATTTGTACAAAGAGCATGTTAAACCAATAGTAACCATGCAGAATAAGGGTGAGCAGGAGAACCTAGCGATTCTGAGCTGTCCCAGCAAGGGAGCCAGCCACCACCACTTGCATGTGGCAGGCCCTAGGGCAGGCTAAGAGTAGGCAGGCTTCATCATGGGAAAGGGAAGGCCCTGAGTGTGTGGAAAATCTGGAGGACATCCTTGCAGCAGGGCATCTTAGGTGACTGAGGAACACACAGAGCTTCCGTGCTTGGTCCTGAGATGGAAGCGGAGCTTTGAAGAGGGAAATTGAGTTCTCTGACTGTTAATCACTTTCCCCGTCATTGTGACACATATGGAGAAAGTTGCCTTGGAGAAAGGAAGGTGTATTTGGGCTCACGGTTTCTGAGGATGAAGTCCACGGTCGCTTGGTTCCAACATTTCTGGGTCTGAGGAGCAGACCAGCATGGGGGTGGGGTGGAGTGGAGCAGTGCTGCTGGCCTCTTAGAGAACTAGGCTTTGGGGACAAAATCCAGTCATTGAGTGCCCATCCCAGGGGCTCTGCGTGGTGAGGAATGTCGAATCACCCTTGAGTGTTACAGTTAATTGATGCACTCGCCTACGGGAGGCACCTACACCTCTGTACCTATGAGTGTGGGTGGATTTTGCAACCTTGAAATTATGTCTCCTGCTCATTTCATTTTTGTCATTTCCAATTCATTTTCTGTTACCCGTTTGGAAATGTGGGGTCCATGAAAGTGGATAAGCCTTGTTTCCACCCACACGTGAGTTCCCTAGGTCAGTGCCTGCATGGTGGGGGCTGCAGCATGGACCGCTGCTCGCTGCCTGCACATTTGTGGCAGCTATTGCTCAGGGGACCAGAGCCACCAGCTGAGCCATATCTCCGGGCTGCCTGTCTTTCTCTGTCAATTTAGACATATTGTGACCACTGTCACAGCCTGCCTGAGACAGGGCTGTGGGGAGATCCTGAAGGCGACAGCTTGAACGAGGGAGCTGTGGGCACCTATCCCATCTGCTGGGGACAGCTTGTAGAATCAACACCAGGGGCCTTCAGTCTGGGGTGGGGGGATACAAGCAGGACCCAGAGAAACAAAAGGGAGAAATAGAAAAGCAGGCTGTGACAATGAAGGGATAATTCTGTAACTACTCACGCATTGTGGATATCACCCAGGCTGCCAAAGTGTGTGTGCCCTTCATTCCTGGAAGAGGAAACTCTGATCTGTGGTGGCAGCAAGCATGTGTGGCACTTTTCTGTGTGCCCCCACGCATGCTGCACGATTCCTGGAGGAAGTACTTCCGTTTAAGTTTTGGGAAAACTGCCAGATGCTGCCTTTTCAAACAGCATCTTCCCTTTGGGACTTTGCTGTGTAACAAAGACAAGGAAATAGTAGGAAAGTCCTGATCTGGATGGCAGGACATCTGGATTCTTTTCTTAGCTTTGCAAGTACCAGCCGGGTTATCCTGAGCTGATCACTTGCCCTCTTCTGGTTATTGATTCATCTGAAAAGTAAGGGGAATGTTTAAAATTAAGTAGCTTGTATAAACTTAAATAACCTTTGAGTTTTCTTCTTTTAACATTTGTTTAGGGGGGGAATGGGTTTTTGAGAACAACGAAGGAGGGACTTATCAAGCAGCAGAACATGGCTGCCTTGATGTCCTTTGTCTACTATGCTGTTAAACTGTGAATTTCAAACATCCCTAACAGCTGGGCTTTTTCCTGCCAGTGTGTTTCTGGTTAATGAATAGCTTCTGGCTTCCTGGTTCCATCAAGATTCCCAGAATGAAAATCCCTCCCATTCCAATCTTCTGCCACTTAGCAGGTCCTGAGCCAAATGTGGTGGTCAGGGAGCTCAAACTGAGCCCTGCTACCCCTTCTCTGAAGGAAAAGCAGGCCTTCCCTGATGCAAGCTCTTCCCATGCTGAAGCTTCAGCTGATCAGGCTGGTCTGTGAAGATCTGTGTACATCAAGGTGAAGCGTCAGTGGCCTCTGAAGAACAATGTAATGGCCATCTTGTAGACCTAACCCTTGTGACACCTTCTAGCCGAAGGGCTCATCCTTGGAAGATTTCCTACTCTCTTGTCTTCCTCCAGCTCATTGGCTCCCTGGCAGCATCTGACCTGCAGGAAAGGAGATTTTCCCTACTTTATTGTCCAATTTGAACTTCTTGTGCCACCTGGTTCTGAAACAGATACTCACACACACACATACACACACACACACACACACACACACACACACACACTCGAGTACTCTGCTACCCCTCAACCCCAAGACTCAGGGATCTTTACAGAAGAGGGAACAGAAAGATCGTAAGAGCCAGAAGTGGTAGATGACATCATGGAAACTGTTTCTGGACACAACAGAGCAGCTGCAAACCTGAACACACAGTGACTGTGTGACAGCATGCACAAAACCTGTGAGAGCTCCAGCCAAACAATCCACCACTAGCCGAGGACCTATTGACATGTGATAGCTGCTGAGAGAGAGGGTCAGTTTCCTCTAGTGACATGACCTTTAGTAGGGCCAGAGCAGCGCCAGGAGTAGCTGAGCAACACAAACTTGACTGGATGGTATTTTTAAAATGCAGAAACAGAAAACTCAAACTTGGTTAGGTGAAAAGGGGATGTAGGGTAGGTGGGGGCGGGAATGAATAGGTTCAAAATACATTTTATTACATTCTCAAATAATTAATAAAAGATTTTAAAAATAATACCATCTACATAGCTTATTTCACTCATTCATCCACTTGCTCATTTTCTACCCATCCTTATACCTGTCTGTCACATATTTTGAGGGGTGGCTATGTCTTTGGTACTGTGGTAAGTTCCCAAGACTGGATGATAGACAAACTCTCCCATTTATGGAGCCTTCACTTGACTTTAGAATGAATACAAAGTAAAGGATGCCACCATGGGAATGGAAGTGCATACGCAGGAACACTCAACTTAGCAAATCTAAGAGGCCAAGATCACAGGTTGATCTGCACAAGTGTTAATCATGTGGTCAAGACATCATACACTGCGGCCCTTGAGGAGAGCACGCCAAGGGAGATTGAGAGAGATCAGACAGGCACCTGGCCTGGGCCTTCAAGCCAGTAAAGAAGGTTAGCTTGAACTTGGGGAGAATAGTGAGAGGTGCCTATGGATGGCATGTTTGTATTTGTGCTTTAGAAATAACAGTTCTGGTCACAGATGAAGAATGGGACAGGGTGGAGGTAAGAGCAGCCTGAATACTTAGGAAGCTGTTACAGTTACTCTAGCTTAGAACACTGGTGGTCAAAACCAAGGAGGTGTCCATGGGTAGGGAGGCAGGTGGATAGAGGCCAGATACACACATGTGCGTACACACAAACACACACACCACCACCACCCACATACATACCATACACACAGTACACACACACACACACACACACACACACACACGGTGTAGAGAGGCCTAGTGTTGGGCTCAGTTGCTGAAATGTGAGCCAGAATCCTTCATTCTGACTTGGGGAGATGGTGACTGGTAATGTTTCCTTCCGCAGGACTCCAGAACAATGGCTTTGTCTCTGAGGAGCTCTTCCCCGGGCACTGTTCTCTACCAACCTAAGATGGGTGGGTGGGCACAGCTGACTATGGGCTTCAGGTTCCAGCCAAATAAGGCAGGACTGGAACTGAGGAAAGCGGGAGGGATTTTGGACATGCTGCCTGCTGCCTTCTCCTTTGACTTGGCCCCGGAATGCTGGCAGGCTGGGATAATTAGGAGGTTCAGGCAGTCTTAGAGTGCTGACTTGAGTCCCTTCTCCATGGGTTCAAAGAACATCAATGCACTTGTTCTTATCCAAATGCATTCTGCTCTAGGCATGCTCAGCAGATGGTCCAGGGACACTTTGAGCTTGGTACATCTCTTCCAGGCCTCTAGGCCAGTGTGTTTTCATGACTGCTCTCTGCAAAGTTGTTTTTCTACCATACTGGGTCTCAATTACTGATGGGGGGTTGTCTTTTTGGGACAGGCAGAAATATCCAGAGATGTTTTTGATTGTCAGTGGGGCTGGCTAGGCTCTACTGACATAGGATAGGTAGAGGCTTGGGATGCTTCCAACACCCTGCAATAGACAGAACAGTTCTCATGCCACAGATTGTTTGTTTCCAAGGTTAGAAACCCTGGTCTTGGGGATCCCCTACTCTGTGGCTAAAAGGCCCTGTGAGTCTTTCAAGACTCTGAGGGTGAGTAGAGCAAAACATAAGTTCAAGAAAAACTAACTGGTTGTCGTTTTCTTTCTCTAGCTGAGCACTGTCTGGAAAGCCCACATAGAGCAGCCCAAGGCATCGAGAGTCTGCGGGCTGGGCAGCAGGGAGCAGGGCCTGGTGCTGACAATGGCCAGGCAACAGGCACCACCCTGGGTCCATGGAGCCCTCATCCTCTTCCTCCTCAGCCTCGGAGGGGCCATTGAGATTCCGATGGATCGTGAGTTCTGTGCCCACTCTTTCTGTTTTACTCCTGATATTAGAGGAGTGGATGTTGGGAAGAGAGGTCAGGGAGGTGAGAGGGAGAGAAAGTGACAACATATCCCAGGCTTCAGAGCTGGGTTTTTCTCCAAAGACTTGATGGAGGCTCCCACTGGGAAGTTGAAAACCAAGAAAACAGGCCTCCTTTTAGGATGGATAAGCTGGCATCTGTGCTACCTGAAACCTACTGAGTGGAACCAAGGATAACATAGTTTGGGATTCTGAGAGCCACCTGGAGTTCTTCCCTCTCCCCTACTTACCTGCAAGCCCACGGCCTTGACTTACCCTTTTAAGAGAAGTTTCCAGGATCAAGTGTGGTGGGCTGTCCTTACTAGTCTCTCTAACTCAATACACCAGAGCTGATGCCCAGCTTTGGCTGGAGTAATATGGAAGATGGTGGATTGGATTGGGAAGAGGATTGGGAAGGACATTATCTTTGCAAAAGGCACAGCCAAATGAGGCATTGTGCCATATTAATATTACCATAGGAGAGCTGGGCACAGGTTCTTTCTGCTCTAGTATTCCCTCAGCACAAGAAAGAAAGAAAGAAAGAAAGAAAGAAAGAAAGAAAGAAAGAAAGTCGCTTCTGCTACTGCTGGTGGGGCCTTGTCTGACCCTGGCATGCTGAGCTAACATCTGCATCTATATCTACCAACTCTGTTGCTGCATTCACCGATGGCTGTTGACCGGTGCCTCATTCCTAAGCCCTGTTTGGCATAGTTTCCACAGTTTTGACACTTGTGCCGGATGTCTTAGCGTCCTAGCATAAAGTACAGACAGAGCACCTCTGCCCCCTGTTCTCTGCCTCAAGGAATTCATGGAGCCCATGTGATGTCAAGATAGATTTGGGCACTCTCCAGTTAACAGACAACTGAAGGAGGTGGGAGGTGAAGATGGCCTCCAAGACGGCCCCCACAGGCCTCTAAAGCCAGACCTCCTCCACCCCAGCAACAGCTATCCAAGAGGAGTCTGCACTTGTGTATGACAAAGACCAGTAACAACTATGACTAGACCCCAGAAGCAAGCTGAGCAAGACCACTGCTGCCTGAGTGTGTATACGAGAAAAAGGGGAGAGCTGTGAGACAAACGTTTCCATGGTGACCGTCTGTAGTTGGCTCAAGGAGAGTTCTCATTAACAGCCAGGCCGGCAATCTAATAAGCAGCGTGATAAGGGTTCGTCCCTGGAGGGGAAGGTGCAGAGGAAATTGGGTTATTGAGAACATGGTGAAGGCTCGTTTCTCTTCTGCCTTTTCTCACCTGCTGTTAGATACCCGGGGCTGGTGGGGGAGGGACGCTTGCACAGTGAACACATAAATAGATAGTATGGGCTTCTTTATTGATAATCTGGATTTCCAAGCTTTACTGGAGATGGAGCTACAACAGGAAGCCCATATACTGCCTGAGGCAGAAGGCTGAGGACACTGGCTTCCTCACCACTCACCCCTCCCCATCCCAGCTTCCTGGAGGAGGGCAAGGAGAACCCTTCTTTTATGTTGTATACACAGACCAGGCCATTCCCTGCTTAGGGTCACACCTCTCAGTCAGAATGAAGTCTGGGTCTTTTGACTCTGCTGTGGCACGTTGATCCTGCTTCTTTTCAGTCCTTGGACATCCGTGGAATTGCAGCTGCCCTAGGCTAGACAGAAACCTCAGAGCTGGGCTGATCTCACCACATTCGGTCCTCACAGTGAATCCAGGAGCGGGTGCCATCCTTAGCTGACGAGTTAGGAAGCAGAAAAGGCACAGAGGCAGCACCTGGCAGTAGTACCTTTCTGAGTGACACATGGCTGTAGTTGGTCTGGGCTGTGTCAGGATGGACAGCTCATAAAGCACTGTGCATCCCTGGCTGCTGCAGCTCATCTCAATGACTCCTCTGTAGAACAGAACTCTAAACGATGACACAGCAAGGGCAAGTTTTCCTTAGCAGGTGTCTCCCCCAGCTTAGCCAGAGCCCTTCTGACATCCGCTGAGAGTCCTTCCATCTGTGCTTGGGACAAGTCAGGTGTTCCTAACTCACCCCCTTTGTTGGTAGGGTGGGGCAGAGAGTCTCCAGCTAGAGATTGTCCTGCCAGGTATCTTCCTCATTCACCCTTCCAGGGCATCCTCTGTGCCTCCAGAGCAGGGACACTGCTTCCACTCTAGGGCTTGGCACAGCAGCTTTCTGGAGCAGCACGCTGGATGACTGCACAATCCCTTATTGAAGTGCTCAGCCTCTGGCTCCAACTGCCTTGCAGCGAAGTCACACGCCACCTCCCTTCCATTAGCCTGGAGGAGAACTGCACGACCCTTGAGGGCGAGAAACGTAATGGGTCACCTCATCAGCCAGAGTGGCTTCGCCAAAGAGTGAGTCTTCTGGGGGCATGCATATACTCTCATCCCCCTTCCACTGAGGAGATTTAGCATTTCCTCCTAGGAGCCCACAGAAGAGGACTCCCCACCTCATTCAGTACCACGGGATGTAACACCTACCCTACATCCTCCTGGGATGAGCCCAGAGACCAACTACCAGAGCCCAGGAAAAAAAGAAGGGCATGAAGACAGAGCCTGGAGCCAGGGCAAGCACCAGCTCAACCCAACAGAGATGGATTAGGAGACTATTTTATCTTTCTTGGGCTCCAAAAGAACAAATTCATTCTCCACCTGACATCGCCAGACAGCAAGTTCTGTGAAAGGAAAGAAGAGCATGTGGTGGGGTGACAGTGAGAAGCACTGTTGTCCTTGTCCTCAGACAGGCTATCACCGCCACTTTCTATCACAGCTTGTCTTCTGGCATCATTCAATCCCAGCAGTAAATTCCTTGGGAGCACAGTGGTGACTGAGATGTTATTGTCCCATTCGGCAAGTAGGTGCCCAAGAGGCCCTTAACCAGATAGGCAGTATGGGCTCAGGAAAGCAATCAGCCAGTTCCAAGCTGTCTTGGGAATCTCTACTCACAGAAGTATCTTCATTTTCCCTTGATCACAATGTCAGGGACATGGCGTCATGAGGCCCACACCCAGCTACTTCACTTCTAAGGATGGATTTCTGAAAGCTCTGCAACAATCTCTGGGGGCTCTAGTACCCATGCTATCTGTAAAGCCTGCTTCCACAGGACTAGCCATGTGCCCACCCCTCCTTGAATTCAAGATGCCCTGGAAGGACACCAGAGCTTGGGAGCAGGGTACATGAGGACCAAGAGGCATCATTGTGACCTGAAATGAAGCCAGAGCCCAGCTAGTGGTCAAAGGAAATGTGCTTAAGGACCAGTCCTGCCTCTCTGAAACTGGCTCCGTCTCTCCCTCCTCCCGTCCTGTGCCAGCCACACTGGCTTTCAGTCTCTTTAGAATCACTATCTTGGCAGGAAAACCACATATGGGTGAAGGGAACCCCACAGAACCTCTCTCTGTTCAGAGCCTCATGCCTTTCCACTCCAGTTTTTCATTCCTTTGTTTCCAATCCAGGCAGACCTGGACAGGTGAAAAGCAGAATGCCCCTTCATTACTCCAAGGGCCACACCACCCAGCTCATGAAACCTTTTATGAAGGACCATACCATGAAGCCTTTCCTTTGCTGACAGCCTTCACTGAGGCCTGCCCATTCCTGCCATGCAGGAATGCCATGCCAGTCACCGTGTCCATTCATTCTTTGTGTCCTTTTCTGTGCTACTGTGATTCTCTTGGACCTGGGTGATCCCTGGCTCCCCGAGGGCTGTTCTCTCTTAGCCTGCACCTCCTTCTCTGAGTCTTTTCACTCTGGAGGGAAGGCATCAAGACCACCACCACTCTGCTTCACAGCACACTTCCTCATGCTCTCCCTAGCAGCACCCACTCTGAAAAAGGCAGCCCAAGGGCTCATGCGTGCCTGACGCCTGCACCAGCGTGGCACAAGGACCATTTGCTTCCTTGTGGTATCATCAGGAAAGACACTGAAGAGTCCTAGAGACATATTTTGTCTTTTCTCCACATCTGTTGGAACCAAGGCTTGCTTTCCACATCTAAAACCTTGCCACCCATGCCACAGTTCGTATTTCTCAGCACCCCCTGGGCATTTGTCAGAAATGTAGAGTGGATGCAGTTTCTTGGTAGAGCCTGGCATTGGCAAGGCCCTGGGTTCCATCTCCAGCATTGAAAGAAACAACAAAGCAGAATACAGGCTCTAAGGCCAACCATCTGAGCCAACGCTGCATCTTCTCTGGCAGTGGCTGACTCACCTGCTTGTTAGAGTGTGAGAAGCAGGGACATACCCGTCCTGGTCCATGTGTTCAGATGGGGCGGGTGAGGAGGTGTGCCACCTAGCTCTTTGCCCCATCTGTGGAAAATACAAAAAGGAGCGGTGGGGTTGGCCACGTCCCAGGATTCTGTCATTCAGGAACAGGATTTTTGTAGAAAATACTTTTATGTAAGAGAGAAATGGTATAGTGAGGGAATGAGGTGCTGGATTCTCAGAGCCTCTATGCTTAGGGCCTTTGTCTCATGAAAGGTTCAAGTCACTCGTTCCCTAGGATCTCCATGCAGACCTTGTGCTCCCACATCCCTCAATGGTGTGAGATACGAGGGAGCATCCGAAGAGTCTCTTTCAGGCAGCCTTGTCATTTGGGGATATTTGGATTTGCCTGGTAACATCTCCCTTTGGTCACGGGTCCTGTCCACTGTGTGGTTTTGCTCTCCCGAGTGATACAACACCTTTTCCATGAAGTATTTGCAACGAGTAATCTCCACTCTGGCCTGGTTGTTCTGCCAGGTTCCATATCTGGGAGAAATTCCCATGTCCATTGCTGTCCCCATGTCTCCTCATCCTAACCCTGCATGCTAGGACAAGAGGACACCTGATGGTTAGCTGGTCAGTTGTGTGCGATAACACTGTTCTCCTTCTCTCCCCCCCCCCAATGCTAACCCACTGGAACTAACAGCAAGCATTCAGAGTGAGCGTAAGTGCCTCCTGTGCCTCTCTGCCCTTGAGCCTCTGGGAGGTGGGAGAGAGGGAGGAGGGGCTGGGAAAAGCCAGCTGAGAAGAGTGGGCTTGAAGTCAGCGGCCTCTTCACTGCCTGCTGGTGTTGCTCAAGCCCTCTAGTGAGTCCTTTACCAATGGAAGAACTCCCCCAGGAACTAGGGGTGGGGTGGGACAAGGGATACAGGTAGGTGGTCAAAAGAGTCTATGGATGGCAGCTGGGGTGCCCCATCACTACTATAACTCCTCCCGTTGGAGGCTAGCACCGCACCCCTGGGTGCGCCAGCTTGCTGGCACACAGGGAAGCCCCTGGGAAGCTCTAAGGGACTGAAGCCTCCTTTGGCTGTTGCCTCAGCAGTCTGGCCATCTGTTGAGATTCATGGCTCAGAACCATCCCAGCCCTAAGTCCAACAACCATAGCTGGTTTGTTTCTGTATCCATTGAGCACACATCTAGCAAGAACTGTTATGCCCTGTGCACTGGGATGGGAGGCTGGGTGAAACAGCCTGATTTCACTTGTTTAGAGGGAGACTGGGTCTTCTTAAAGGTGCTCCTATGCTCAGACTTTGACATCCACCCCTCTCCTAAACCAGTTTAAGAAGCTGCATCTTTCCAATAAAGCACTACTCATCCTTGCTTGCTTGCCCACTTGCCCAAGTGGCTCCTGAGGCTCTTGACTTTAGCCACTCTCTAAGACAAGTTCAGGGCATGTCCTGCAGTTCTGAATTTTGCCACATGTGTCTTGTTGCAGTGACCCAACCTCCGACTATCACCAAGCAGTCAGTGAAGGACCACATTGTGGACCCCCGTGATAACATCCTGATTGAATGTGAAGCTAAAGGGAACCCTGCCCCCAGGTGAGTGGAGGGAGAGGGATCTGAGAAGCCACCATTGAAATGACCCACTTGCCCCATCTTGGTCATACTTAGGGCAAGCAACTGAAAAGCCTGGCACAGGGCTGAGAGATGGCTCAGTGGTTAAGAGTGGGTACTGCACTTGCAGAAGCCCTGAGTTCAATGCCAAGTATCCCTGTCAGGTGGCTTCTGTAGTTCTAGCCCTGGGAGCATCCACTGCATCTGGCCTCCACAGGCATGGGCAGTCACGTGCACAAACCCCGACTCACACCCCCTTCTAAACAGATAATTGAAAGCAGAACACATTTTTTAAAAATGTTTGGTTCATTCATTCAAAAAAATATCCATTGACACCTACTAGTGCGACACAGGAGGGCTGGCTTGTGAGAAGCAGATGTGAATTGGTCACGTGGCTCAAAACAGCTATGCATAGATGCTGCAATTACTATGTGGTCATGAGAAAGTTGCTTCAAAGCTCCAAGCCTCCATTGTCTCCTCTGAAAAATATAGAACTGCCCTTATTTATTTATGGGGTTTTTGCCAGTTTCAGAGGAGTGGGAAATTTACCTCATAAGGAAATCAGGCTTAAAGAAATGGTTTATGAAACCCTGGAATCTCAGTGTTTACCCCAGGCTGGCCTCAAACTCATCGTTCTCCTGCCTCGGTCTCCCCTTCTAAGCAGTAGGGTTACAGGTTTATGTCACTAGACCCTATTAGACATTATTTTCTGACTTTCAGTATAACATGTTATGCTGTCCTTATGTGGCCGTCATCCACCCCATGTTCAGCTTACCCCTCTTCTTAGCTGACTCAAGACTTTCCTTCTGAGCTTGGTTTTCCTCAAAGGAGAGGTCAGTAGACAAGAAGAAGAAGCCCGCCCTATCCAGACTGTTCTGTGCTGTTAACATGGATTTATTCATTCATCCCTCTTCCTCTGTGGCAGGGCCAGTGTCCTCCTGAGGAAATATGGAGATTTTAAATGACCTTACCACAAGTCACCAGCTTCATTGAGCCAAGGGCAGAACCAGGATTTAGACCCACTCTTTGACCATCAAAGCTAGATGTGTTTCTGCCAAATGATACATCCTAGCAAAGTGAAAACGTTAAAAAATGTACATTCTCAGAGTAGCAGAGTATGTCCCAGACAATGCAGGGAGAAGGTTTGCTCTAGCCCTGGGTTTGTGTGAGACAATCAAGCCAAGAATAATGAGCCGAGAACAAGTCTTTCATCCCAAGTGGAGTCACCCTATAAGAGAAGTTGGGACACTGGTGACCATACCTCTCAGATTGATCTTTTCCACATGGATCCTCTGTGGGGACAAGGACTCTGAGCTGTTCCTGTCTCTTGTATTTGTACCACATCAGCACAGGGAGCCAAAATGTGTGCTGCTGGCTGCAGCATCCTCTCAGGACAAACTGAGGGACATGATGATAATAATGATGATGATGACAATGACAACAACGAAGACCTCTCCTCCTCCTTTTCATTCTCCTTTCCCATTCCTTCTCTTCCTCCTTTTCAGATGAACGGTGGAACTTAGATCCTTGTACAGGCTAGGCAAGCGCTCTTCTATTGAGCACGCACCCTATGCCCAGGCCCAGGGAGCCTTTTTCTAGCTCTGATTCATTAGCCTGCCAGTTCATTCAAAGCTATCCTTCCGTGGTTCCCATGCTGTTGTTCCATGGTCTTCCTGAAGCACTTGTCAAACAAGGAACAGGTAGTCTCTACCATCATGTCGGCTTCAGAGCAAATTATGCTATGAAGGCATGGCAGGGCAGAGGTGGCAACCTGGCATATGTAGGTTGGTGAAATAAGGAGTGTGCATTCCTAAGAGGATACTAGGAATGTCACAAAGTAAAGAAAATAGCTAGCTCTGGGTTTGTTTGTTTGTTTTCTGGTTTGAGGACTGTTTGTTTATTTGCTTGCTTGCTTAAGAAGCCACTGGCTACCCCTGAGTTATGTGCTCAGAGAATAGAACCCACTGGAGGAGCTGAGTGCCTGCTACCCATAGCCAGCCTTACCTAGTAGTAGCACTCATAGTATGTGTGGTCCCAGTAGACATGACTCATATAATATCCTTTATATTCTCCCAAGCTTGTCAGGTGGCTCTACCCAGCCAGGACTGGGTCCACTGGCATGGAAGTAGGGTGATGGGGTCGAAGTCTGCCATGGAGTGTGGACTAGGAACTGGTCCACTCTGGCCCTTACTTATGGTTGGCCTGCCTCCTGTCATCCACAGCTTTCACTGGACTCGCAACAGCAGATTCTTCAACATTGCCAAGGACCCGCGGGTATCAATGAGGAGGCGATCTGGGACCTTGGTGATTGACTTCCGCAGTGGTGGGCGACCTGAGGAATACGAAGGGGAATACCAGTGCTTTGCCCGAAACAAATTTGGTACTGCGCTTAGCAACCGGATCCGCCTGCAGGTGTCCAGTGAGTGCCAGGGACAGGTGCTGGTGCTGGCTCCCCAGTGGGTGGGAGGCAAGCAGGACTCCCTGCCCTCCATGGGTCTCTCCCACCCCAGAAAGATTCCTAGAAAGAAAACTTCCAGACTAGTCAGTGCATCCTTACCAGCTACGCTGAGCACTGGAGGAGGGGAGAGGAGAGGGCAGCTGAAAGATGAGTGCCCACTGTCACAAAAAGCTCCCTACTTTCAAGTGTCACCCTGTATGTGTTCTCTCTTGCCTCCCACATTCTCCCATATCTCCCCTTCTCTTGAGTCTGACCAGCTCCAGATGTCAGCTGTACTTCACCCTCTTCTGTTTCTCTCCAGAATCTCCCCTGTGGCCCAAGGAAAACCTGGATCCCGTTGTGGTCCAAGAGGGTGCCCCCTTGACACTGCAGTGCAACCCCCCACCTGGCCTCCCGTCCCCAGTCATCTTCTGGATGAGCAGCTGTAAGTTGGGGAAGCCTGGCCTCACGAGCGCCCAGCTTGGGAGGCGGGGCAGTGGACCGGTTGAATGGGGGAGAGGGAGTATGATGGTTAATATTAATTGTGAACTTGACAGTCTCTAGAATCCCTGTCTGTAAGGGATTTCTAGTTGGGTTAATTGAAGTGAAGAAACCCACCCTAAATGTGGGTGGTAGCCATTTCATGAGCTGGGATCCCAGATTAAAGGAGATAGCGAGCGGAGCAGCAGCCTTTTGCTCTGCTCCCTGACTGTGGGTGCCATGTGACCAGCCGCCTCATGTGTCTACCACCACGGCAGGCTTGCTCTGAATCTTTAAGCAAAAAGACAAACGGCAGAACAAAACCACCAAGGACCATTCCTTAGGTTGCCTTGGTTCACAGAGATGCCACAGAGGTATGGAAACTCATTTGTGGGCTCTCGCTGATTGGGTGACCAACTTGTGAGAAGCAGCTGGGAAGTGGCCGTGTGGCTCAGAACAGCTGTGTAAAGAGGCTGATGCTACTGTGTAGTCCTGAGCAAGTTGTTCAGAGCCTCTGAGAGGCTGGCTTTGAACAGTCATTGTTCCTCTTTCCCTTCACATTGTGGGGAAGGATACCTGGCTGTCAACTGGTCGGCTCAGACTCTTCTCTCACCTCTTCCATCACACTTATCACTAGATTAGGTCCATGGCACCCACTGAACATATCTCATGGCCCTCCTCATCTTTCTGTTCTCACTAACATCTCCTCGGCCCAGAGTCTTGTGAGCTTTCATACTGGGTCTCCTTCCTAGGCTTAAAGAGCAGAATCAGTTATCTTCATTCACATGCTTTTGCTGGCTCCTCTCTTGCCTCAGGACAAGCCCAGACTCCTTTACCTGGGATAGTCGCCTTCATGACCTGGTCCTTTTGTCTCTAGAGCCCTTCCCCCTCATCCCTACACCTTTCAGCTCCGGGCTAGGCCATGTCCCTCAGCCTCCAGACACACTCCCCGAGCTCCTCAGAACCTTTGTAGGTTTGCCTGTGTGCCTGACACAGACATGCAGACTTCAGGGCTCTACTCAGGCACCCCTAGAGGACAAGGTCCCCTCTGCAGTCCCGTCCTTCCCCACAGTGCACTCTCCTGTCCACGCCACTTATCATGACCTTTATCTCCTGCTAGACTGAGGGTTTGTCTTTCTTTCACCCACTTCTGGAACATGTGATCTGTCACATAGTAGGTCCTCAGCAGATCTTTGAGGAATGATTTGAAGAGCTGAGCACCCGTTGTGGGACAGTTGGCATCACTGACATGAAAAAGAAGTTACGGGGACAGGAAGTAGATCAGCCTGGAGTGTCAACAACCGACAGCTTAGAGAGCTGACCCTGTGTTAACACCAGCTCCTGAAAAGCAGAGCAGCGTTGACATCCTCAGCCACTCCTGTGGTGCCATTCACTCTCAGTTCTGCATTTCCCTTCATTCGACAGTGTGCATCATCAGTTAGCATACGTTCCACAATTATAACCAAGAACTGCTTTCTCCCCTAAGGGTAAACAAAATAAAAGTGCATATTATAATCGATGATGGCCAATGGCCAATTGTTGTTTAACTACAACAAGGCCAAGTTTGGGCGTACTTAGCACAGTACTGAGAGCACTTGTGTCTTCTGGTCTCAGCTGGGTCCTGAGGTGTAAAGAGGAAAGTGTGTTGGCTATTGCCTGCAGGATGCTCCTGTACTAGTGTATACACTTGATTCCTGCTCCAGGAGCAGACAGAAGCTTGTCTTCTCATTCTGGCCTTGAAGTCAGTCAGGTTGTGGGATGAACAGCAATTAGAAATGTGGTCACAGAACCTGGGCAAAGGGAACAAGTCCATCTTGGTTTAACTGCACGCCTGGATGCGTTCAACCCTCCACTATCCTGCTACAGAACTGGGAGGAGCTAAAAGGTAGCAAGCTCCAGTCCCCCATCTAACCTTCTGAACACTGAGATGATTATCTCTGAGTCAGCCAGGTAACCTCCCGTCTCCCCTCTGCTTCCCCACAGCCATGGAGCCCATCACCCAGGACAAGCGTGTCTCCCAGGGCCATAATGGGGACCTGTACTTCTCCAACGTCATGCTGCAGGACATGCAGACTGACTACAGCTGCAACGCGCGCTTCCACTTCACCCACACCATTCAGCAGAAGAACCCCTTCACCCTCAAGGTCCTCACCAGTAAGTGCAGGCCCTTCTTGGGGCTGGGGTCACAGGAGGCAATCCCTAAGGGCACGTGTCACACATACCTGGGGCTAGCTCATTGTGCCTGAGCCACTGCTCCTGCCTTATGCATCGACTCAGGATGCAGAAGCCTTGTGTCAAACCTAGCCCTATGCTCAGCCAGTGCTTGTACTTTGATAGGAATCAGAGTCACGTACAAGGTCCAGTCCTAGATCACCTCAACAGCCTTGAACTCTCTCAGGGGCCCTTCGCTCTCATTCAAAAGTTCCTGGAGTTTGAGTGAGGTGACTTTCAGTGACCTTCACATCAGGAATTGCTATTGTGCACTCAGCTTACTTCTTTCCTTTCTAATCATTGGTTGCCTTTGTTTCTAGAAGAAAGCCAGTGCATATGATACTAGGATCAGTGGACACATCGGACAAATTTTGCTTGGTTCTGTAATGTGTAGTTGCTTTGTCTATAAAATGCAGGTTTATGTTCAACTTTTTTTATCCCCTGACTGTTTTTTGATAATACCAAAAAAACAAATTCGCATTCCCTAACCCACTACAGTGGTTTCTTTCTCTCTCTCTTTCTCTTTCTCAGACAGGGTGTCTTTGTGTAGCCCTGGCTGTCCTGGACTCACTTTGTAGACCAGGCTGGCCTCGAACTCACAGAGATCCACCTGCCTCTGCCTCTCTGAGTGTTGGGATCACAGGAGTGTGCCACCACGCCCAGCGTGGTGGTGGCTCTCTACAGAGGCACACTAGGACAAGCCACGTGGTCCTCAGCTTGTTCAATAGCTTGCCAGTTTGTTTACACCATGGATATGTAACACAGCTAGAAGAGGACCTTCTAGAGAGTCTCTAGTCTGTCTGACTCATGCTGTGACTGTCATTGTCAGTGCTGTGCTGTGGATGGTGAGGAATGTGAGGATTACAGGCTAGAGCCACCACAGGTCAAAATGAAGCTGAGCCTCAGCTTCCCAAGGCCAATCTCCAGGGTCTCACACTGCTGGGGAGTCCCCTGGGGGGAAACCTGGGTGGACTTGTTCAGCACTGGTGCAGGCCTCTTCAGTCTACGCTGGTGACAGGCAGGCGCACCATGGCAGCCACACAACCTCATCTCTTTCCTTGGGGATGGAACACTCACCCATAAGGAGCAGCTTCTCCTTGCTGGATTCTCAGGGTTTCTTCTTTTTTCCCTTTCCTTTTTTAATTTCCTTCCTCTGTTCCTTCTCCCCCTTTCTTACTTTCTTTTCTTGCTGCCTCCTTGTCTATGATCTGCTTTGCCAGTGGGTGTTGTCTGCCATGATGGGATAGACAGCCCACGGGATTGCTCAAACCCCAGGAAGGGGCCCTGCCTGATGTTCCAAAGTCCCTGGCTCTCTGACTCCTGAACCCACCCCAGGAGACTTCTGAGAAATGAAGTTGATTTGCCTGCTGTGCCTCCTCAGTATACTTCAGGTGACTGTCTGCCAGCTGGCTAAATGAAGGAGGACAGTGTGATCTGCCCAGGGCCTCTGAGTGGCCTCAGTCAGGACAAGGGGGCAATGAGGAGGAGCCAGTAGGTGGAGCAGTGCTGTCAAGAGAAGAATGACCCTACACAGCCCTCATGTTCACCTAGGAAGGGTGATGCTGAAAGTCAGTCTGTTCCAGGGCATGAGCCAGATGCCATGCTGTTCTGGGCAGAGTGTGGGAGTATGTTCAGGATAAATGACACTTAGCAATGGAACTTCCCAGAAGCATTCTTTTCTCTAGAAGATGTAAGTAAAGGATACTTGTTTCTGCTTTACTTTGAGTCGCCTGTCCCATTGGAAACTCTCTCCTCCAAATGTCAAGAACCTGAACAGAATGCTACCAGTTTCCTGGAGCACTCCCAAGAGCAGCTTTGGCTAGAAACAAGTTCTGGGCATCTGAGCCAGCCTAGAATTGGGCACAGTTTCTTAAAATAGAACACTTGGGCTCTGTTGACTTTCCTGTCTAGAAAGGGCACAGGCTTTCTCTACCTCCTTCAGAACCAGGTCTGGGTGGGAAGCCAACCTGTCTGTCTGTAGTTTGTCTTTGGGGACAAAATCTGTCTTATTATGCTATTTTTATTAATTGCATCAAAGGAAAGGGGAGAAAGATAAACACATATATTAACATATATGTGTGTATCAAAATACTGGGCAGTCTAAAAATTCTTTCTAATCTGTTTTAGGATAAAGTACAAGATAACCAGAAGAGTCAGGTTGACAAAGAGATTCAGTCCATAGTGTGACAGGCACACAGTCTCTAGTGCAACAGTAAGAGGCATCCTGGTTAAAAAGGAAGGTATCTGCCTAGGCAGGCAGTGGAGTGCCTCTATGCTTCTGCTGGTGCTCGGCATTCCTCAAGAACAGTCTCCCTGAATCTCTTACACATGCTCCACAGCTACACTGAGATTCGCGTTGCATATCGGTCTTCCCCTGGAAGAACCTCTGTTATACCTGGTACCATAGGAGTGAAAGAGAAGGGCCACTTTCAGCTGAACTTGCCACTGTGTCCCCCAGAGGAAGACAAGAACATTCTCTTCCAAGCACTGTCTCAGCCCTGCTACCTGGTACCACCTACCCCTTCATTCCACTGTGGACCAGTTCCCACCTTACAGCCCAGATCCATCCAAAGCAGCTCCAAAGCAGCTCCAAAGCAGCTAGGTCTTTATCAGCTAACACCACCATGTGAAGTAGTTCTGAAAATGAAAACCTTCTCATTGCTGGCTATAAAGCAGTTTGGGGATGCAAGTCAATGCCAGACCCCCAAAGAAAGAACCCACATAGCCTCTTTCAATTGCTTGTGATAGGATTTGATCTGTCTTTAAATATGCAAATGTTCTAACACAGCCCCTGGCCTCCCCCAGGAAGTTGAACTATGTCCTGGCTTGAGGGAATGGGGAGCTGTCCACTTGGCTTCCAGTCAGTCAGCTGTATACTCTCTCCCCTGTGGGGACTTGTCTGAACTTGAACCCTGTAAGGGGATTGGTAGAGAATAAAAAGCTACTTAAGGAAAGAGGTATGTTGGTGTCCTGTTCTGAAGGACCAAGGGCTCTCTTAGTCACCTTACCTTGGAGTGGGAGCCACTGGTACTGCTTTTTAAAGAAAGTCCCTGCCCCCACACTTACCAGAGAGCTCTGGATCTCAGGTGTGGGACTCATCCCCTCATCTTGCTGTTCTGACCCAAACTCTGCTCCTGGAACCTCCACCAGGGTCTCCCAGCAGAGATCTGGTCTATAGTGATGGCCACCTGGTCAGATCATAAGGCTCTTGTTGCTGGGCTCTGCAAGGGCTCTCTGTCCCTCCCTGCTGATGACTGTCTTTCCCCCTTTCCGCCCGCCGCACGCGCACACACACACACACACACACACACACACACGCACGCACGCACGCGAGCTCATGCTCACGCACCCCTATACCCTGCCGCCTAGCTGCTGCCAGGCAGGGCTTTGCTGTCCTCCGCAGGTCTCACTAATGCTCCTTTTTCTCTAGCTGGTCTCACGTGGAGTCCTGGGGCCTGGGGAGAAGCTGGTTCAGAACCAGCCACAAGATGCTACAAGACATTCTTACCTCATTTGTTCAAAATATAGATGGACCAAGCAGAATTCAAGCCTAATTTTTTTACTTTCACAATAATCTCATTTTATTATTGCTTTCTTTTGCAGGATTTAACCACTTTGTTTCCTTTCGAGCTGTTTTTGTGTTGATCTCTACCAAGCGCATTTCTTTCCCAACTGTGCCATTTTCTTTTGCAAAACCCCACTGGTGCTCTCCTCATTTGTGTGGCTTTGTGTTTCTGTTCTCTGCCTCCTCGTGTTTGTGCCCACACCTGCTGCGCCTCCCTGTTTGCTCACCCTCTTTTGTTTATTGCAGACAACCCCTATAATGACTCGTCTTTAAGAAACCACCCTGACATATACAGTGGTGAGTCCGGGAGTAACTTCTCCTGTCCTAATCCACTTTGGCTAACTTGACTGATACTATGACATTAACTCCTGCTCGGTGACAGAGTGGACAGCTGGCCAGGCCAGGTGCGAAAGGGACACCTCAGGATACTGCCAACCTGGAGCAAGGTGGCCAGTGGGAGCTTGAAGTGGCTCGCATCAAAAGTGTTTTCTCCTTGCCCCTCCAATGTACAAGTCTCAATTTGCTGAATTCTCTGAAGAAAGTTTTAAGCAAGGCAGATCTCCATGGAAGGCTAAGCAGAGAGTTAAGGATCAATGGTAGATGGATTGAAAGTGGACTTTTGCACCACTGTGTCCAAAATATCTGAGAAGCAATGTGAGGAGATGAGAGATTTATGTCAGCTTAGAGTTTCAGAGCATTTTAGACCATCGTGGCGGGGAAGCAGAGGCTGCTGACATCCCAGCAGACTAGGAAGCAGGAAGCAAGGCAGGAACCAAAGGCCAGATGTCCTTCAGAGAACCACCTCTAGTTATCCACTTTCATCAGCCAGACCTCACCTGAATGTCCCACCCACCCCTAAACCATAAGCGGAGCATCAAACATGAGCCAGGGCAGGTGTACATTTCAGATCTAACTGTGACAGAGGGAGAGTGCACAGTTAGGAGGAAACAGGAAATCAGGTTCCTATTGGTTGTATAAAGAGCACAGTCAATTTCTACTAACTCTGGGTATGAATTGCCTGCTTTGAAGCCTCAATTTTTTTTCCTGAGACTACTGCATCACAGCCAGGGTCCAGACCTCTTCAAAGTTTCCCTAGTGAGCTGGAGAGCTAGCTCAGCAGTTAAGGGCACTGACTGCACTTGGAGAGAACTGAGGTTTAATTTCAGCACCCACATGGTGACTTGTCTGTAACGCGGTTTCGGTGAATCGGACACCCTCTTCTGGCATCTGCAGGTATCAGGCATGCACTTGGAACTCTTACATACAGGCTAGCAAGATATGCATATACATAAAATCAAAATAAATAAGTCCCCTTTTAAAAAAGGATTTACGGTTTCCCTAGAAAAATGGTGTTAAGAATTTGGGTCAGTGTTCCCTCTCCAGGGGAGTATGAATGAAGTTGTCCATCCAAGTCCCTGACACCTGTGCCTCTTCTCCCTTCTGCTATCAAGTACAAATCCAGTGCCCACCATCCACATCTGCGAGTTATGGAACAATAACAATGAGTTGTAATTTTAACAAACCACAGCTGACTACTAGGTCTGATTAATAGGGGAACTGGCTATTTGCACACCTGAGTCACACCATGCTGTGGCTTAAGAAGGCCTCGTGTTCCTTGAGCAGCCATTGGACTCAGCATTTGCTGGCTTTGGCGAAGCAGCTGGTCCCATCATCAGTTATGCTTCTGAGCTTAGCTCAGGCCCCCAAGGGGATCTTTGGGAGCTCAAATAGGTAGGAATGTCTTTCCTGAAATGGCTAATATAAGCAATGATCAGTGTCTAGAGTGGAGGATGGGGTGAGAAATGAGAGCCAGGGGGAAACAAAGGTTCCAACTTGGCACCAAGCAGCAAGAACCATGCTGAGACTCTGCTGAAGAGACTTACTGCCCAAGGAAACAGGAGCCTTTGTTGAATTCTGGGGGTTATTTGTTTTCAGGATAATGGGCCAACCACCGCTGTGTCCAAAGTCCCAGAGCACTGCTGTGCAATGTGCCTTTTTCTAAATTGAATCCCAAATATCTATTGTAGGAAGTGCTCTGAAATCCAGAACACATCAGAGCCCTTAGAGGTCAGCTGGCTCAAGTTCTTTGCTTTGTGTAAGGCAGGGAAATGTAAAGTTGTTTTATCCATGGAAGATAGCTGAGTGATTCCAGCCATATAACCCAGACTATCTCCAGAGGCCAATGTGTTTGTTCGTTTGTTTCTTTGTTTGTGTTTTGTTTTTTAAAGAGAATAAGTGAGATTTGTGAGAATCACTCAGGACTTCACATAGAGTTCACATGGAGACTGAGTCCTGGTCCTCAGTCTAGATCAAGACAGGGCTGCCATAGCCTGAAGCTGCTGGGAAGGACATAAAGTTAAAATGAGGCACATATTTGACAAAGGACAACCAAGCTGATGGTTTTAGAAAGAAAGAAAAAACAAGAAAGTAAGGAAGTTCTTCTTGAGTACACAGAGCTGCTACCCAAGGGACACTGTAAATGACAAATGTCCAGCACACACCTCTCTTTGGCTCTGAAATATGGCATGCTTCTTCCTAGCAGTAGGGCCACCCCATTCTTCTGTTTTCTTCTGATGATCTGCACAGAGAGCTGACAAGCCTGGACATGGGTCAGAAGCCATCTCCCCTCTGATTGTCAGAGAAAGCCGCTTGGGTTTCACTCGGGCCAGAAAGCAGGTGTTTTATCGTGTGCACTTGGAGGTGTACAGGGCAAACCCAGTCTCTGGGACATACTACTAGGTGACAGTGGGCAAGCCACTTAATGCTTTAGAACTTTGATTTCCTTGTCTGCCAAACAGGCAGATTACTAGCCTCAAAGATGGTTGTAAAGGTTAAAGGGTCCATAGCCTGCTAAGCTGCTGTACACGCTGACAATGTTTATATATAGCCCATTGCTGGATTTAAAGGGAAAAGTTTTGTGTGGACTGGATTGTATATAGGCCATCTGTTTCTAAATTAAGGGAGATGCAGAGAATTTGCAGACGCGGCCGGGAGAGAAAGGCAGGCACACTTTCAGGAGAAGTACTCCACAGGGAGAGACATTAGGGTACACTAGAGAAATGAAAGCTGCCCAGATCCCAAGCTCTGCTAAGAAATGGGTAAGAAGAAAAGCTGCAACCATTGTGGGCAGGATTTGAATTAAATTTACAGAAGAATTTTCCTAACAGCAAGACATACCAGATGTTTGTAGACCAAGAGGCACACTCCCCCTACTCCCCACCCACCCCTCCCCATACCTTTTGCTCAGTGTACCTAGGGCCAGTAAGATGGATGGCGAGCCGGGAAACCTGCCTCACGTGTCTTCAGGCCTCAGTTCCGAGAACTGAAGGCAGCAGAGAGACCTGGATGCAGGGCCTGGCTGCCATAGACAGCTGCATTTGGCAATGGGCCCCAGATGCAGCTGATGTATTGAGCCATTGTTCTGCTGGCCGGCAGCTCTGAGTGAAGGGAATGGCTAAGTTTGTCAGCACTTTTGACCTTTCTCAATAGGAGACAGCCAGAAACTGTTTCTCCTTTGACCCTTAAAGCCAATTTGATTAAAGTTGGGGTCATGACCTGATGTCCCCTGACTGACCATCTGGCTCTGTAGATCCATGGGTCTTTTCTGCACTTACAAGGCCCACCCATCGGCAGCTTTTCTTAAATCTATGAAAGTTTGAATTTGGCATCTGGATCTTAGGTTTCCTTGGTCTCGGGACAGACCCACCCTGAAGACTGGAAATGGACAGAGCACTCCTGCCTCAGTGAAAAGAGCTGCCCTGCCTAAAGCATCTTTTAACACATTAGAGTGTCATGCAATAGTTACCTCTGTCTTGGTAGTTCCTGTGTTTCCTCCAGGGAAAGAAACCAGGCACCCTGTGTTGGGAACAGGGACTCCCAGGGACACCAGCCAGGTCCTCTTCCTTAAGTTTTTATGTGATCCTTCCTGTTCAGCTGACATGTCGTCATCAACTCCCTTTAGCTCCAGCCTTCTCATTCCTCTGGAAAGCCGCTAGTCACCATGCATACCCTATGAATCCATCTGACGGGCCCTGGAGCCTCCTCATTCCCTCCCCAGCCTCTTGGCTCTGAGTTTATCAGGTGCCGCCAAGGAAAGCTGCGATCTTAGATGGTGACCAAAGCAGTTCCCAAGGACAAAACACCATTCTCCTTCACCTCTTGGCCTTTTGGATTTTGAGTTCCTTTGGTTATTAGAAATATATTCTGAAGCTGCCTGTCAGAAATGGGGACAAGTGACATCTCCAGCTGCTGACTGAGAGACAGTTTAGAGCAGCCGCACAACACAGCTCAGAATCCAAAACAGTGAACATGGGAATTTGGGCAAGCCTGTTAATGTCACAGAAACTCTGCTGAAAACACAGAAGTGCTCAAGTTTGTTGTGAGGATTAGCAATGCTGGTGCTGCAGTGACCGGTCACAGCACTTGGCCCTTATGGATACTTACTGAGTGGGGACGCGTCCCTCTGACTCCAAGGTACTCTTTCATTTCCTTTGAACTTGCCTTGCTTTCCAGCTGCTGCTTCCTCCCTAAGATACTTCTGTGGGTTGGTAGCCCACATCCTACAAATGTGGTGGTGTTGTAGCTTTTCTCCGGTCACACTTCAGTGTGTCACGATGCCCAGAGACCCGTGTTAGTCTTCCTGCTCCCCATCCTTGCTGTTTCTCTGACACTGTGGGTTTGTGCTGCATGCTATGGGTTGAATTACATGTCCAGAGGGTCACAGACTGGCTCCTTCAGACTTTTTTATGTATGTGGAATGAGTGTGATGACCGAGGTGGCATCTTTTCCATGTCACTGTGGGGTTTACAACTCTGGACAGACTCACCCACTTGACATGAACCTCCTACCCTGGACCTCCCTGCCTTTTTGGTGCCCATGACTGTGTATCCTTGACCCTTTTTTGGTGATGGGGGTGGGAGGAAGCTTCTGCTTCCTGGGTACTGGGAGTGAATGCTGCTGGGTCCATAAGTATAGACAGTAACCAACTAACCACTTAATGGATTAATAGCCTGCAGTTGCCACTGCTGTATGTGTGTGTGCTGGTATGACAAATGAGGGCATCTACAGTGTGGGGGTAAACTGTTGCCTCCTCTTTTCTTTATCCTCCCCCTTTTAACTTGCTCTACAAATATTTACTGAACACGTGCCGCACGCCATGTATTGTACTGTGTCAGTAGCCTAAATACCTCAGTGTTTTAACCTTTCTTCCCTTGACAAAAAAAAAAAAGATGAAAGCTAAGTCAACTCTCTGAGAGGTCTCTCAGTGGCTAATGAAGAGAAGCTGGGCATCCCCAGGACAGGAGCCTTCCCAATCTAGCCAGACACCTGCAAGTGCAGCCAGGTCCCTTAGGAAGTGCAAGTTACTGAGTTTGGACCCTCACCAGCCAGCCTTCACCCCAGCAGCAGCAGTCACACCCAGATGAACGCCTTTGTTCCCACTCCAGGCATCTCCAAGGGCTCCTGACTCCTGGAAGCTCTGCCTCCCCACTGTTTCCCCACTTGTCCAGTGGAGCCTAAGACCCGTGGTGGTGCCAGCGGGTCACAGTCACCTTTCAGTCTTCGTGTGTCTTTGGGAAGTGGTGCCTCCTCCAATTTCCCCTTTGTCTTGGAATTTCTGGTTGGACAATTTTTTATTTTTTTCCCATTTCCATGGAGTTGTACAAAGAGTATTGCAGAGTAGTAAAGCCTGGGCAAGGTGGGGTCCACTCTCCATGGATATACCCTGACTGATTGCCCCGTCCATGGGGAACAGTATTAGTGTAAGGACCACCTGGCCTCTAAAACCTGTGTGGAAGATATCCGCCTATCTCATGGTGATTCCAGCCTAGTGGAACTGTTGATCACCTCCCCTCATATTGGCTGCTGTTCTCCCCACCTACACTAACCCCATCTCTCATGCAGTTATGCCAAGAGTGAGGAGACACAGTAGGCTTGGCCTCAGCTTTCCAGTCATCTCTTCTCATTCATTCTCCTTGTGTCTTTGCTAAGCCATTAATAATTCTCTGTTTATCTGGGGCTCTGTTGCTTCAGCCCAGCTCCTTACCAGAGTCCCAAAGAGCAGATTGCTTGTCCTATGTCCCCAATCTATGCCTTCTCTTTCTTCCATGTCCCTGTCTGGGGAGGAAGACTGATGCTGAGATGACCTGCCCTGGGGACTACTGCAGTGGCCTCTCCATCCCAACACAGATGCCAGTGAATGGACCTCTCACTGTTCCACAGCCCCGCCCTGTCCCAAAGGGAAAGGATAGGCTCCTGGGCTCTTCTCAACAGAACACAAAGCTGGCTACCTACATGTGCTGGTGGGGCAGAGGACCCCAACCTTCCACACACATTTAAAGATACCCAGATCCTGGGGGTGGCTTGTGCTGGAAGGACCCAGCCTGCGGGAAGTGGTGACATTTCTCTCTAACCCAATTCTTTTGGCACACCTGGACAGGAGGCTCACAGAAGTTTGTTCTGTCCTGTTTCAGCCCGAGGGGTTGCAGAGAGCACGCCCAGCTTCATGTATCCCCAGGGCACCTTGAGCAGTCAGATGGTTCTTCGAGGCATGGACCTGCTGCTGGAGTGCATTGCTTCTGGGGTGTACGTACAGCCTGCACCATCTCCTAGCCCTGCTCCTGGAAGGATGGGTGGGCATCAGTCTACACATTTGGAGGCATACCAGCACATAGCGAAAGGGAAGAATCAGCCCGGTGGGCAGGGCACTATGTGTCTGTCGTCCGCAACCCACTTTGACTGTCTCTGTTTTGGGAAAAAGAGAAAAGGCAGCGGCTGGGCATGCTGTAGAAGCATTAAGTCATGTGGAATCTTGGCTCTGTTTCTGTGGAGACCCTGTGGCCAAACAGCCTTCTCTGAATAGGAAGCCCAGTTTTTAGAGTGTATACATCTCCCTCCTGGGTCCATGTCTGCTGTTAGGATATCTGGGTGCCAGGCTCTTTTAGGAGATGCATTCAGTGATGAGCCCTTTGTTTTCTGCGTGATCCCTTTATAGCCCAACACCAGACATTGCATGGTACAAGAAAGGTGGGGACCTCCCATCTGACAAGGCCAAGTTTGAGAACTTTAACAAGGCCCTGCGCATCACCAACGTCTCCGAAGAAGACTCTGGGGAGTATTTCTGCCTGGCCTCCAACAAGATGGGCAGCATCCGGCACACGATCTCGGTGAGAGTAAAGGGTACGTTGTGTGTATTTCTCATTATGAGCATTGCCAGCCCTGAACGCAAATATCATGACACCCTTTGCTCTGTGGCAAGGAGGCACAGGGAGTGGGGAACTTCTGGTGTCCTGGCTAGTGACAACAGTGGGCTGCCATGATGGTGTCACCCCTGGATGTGCGACTACATGCATTCATGGGCTTGGGTACCGCAGGAAGGAGATTTGCTTTGATGTTTGCCTGGATTCTGGGCTCTCTCTCAAGTGACATTCCTCTCAGAGCCTTTCCTTTCATTTTGCATTTCCATCTGTGATGTGTTGCTTTAGCCTGTGCTGTCTGTGTTGTGTGCATGGCACCACGCTTCTTCTTAAGGACGGGAATCATCATGGGCCAGGTTATTTTTAAGCCACTTCCCTCCCCTCAAAGCAGGCATGGCCCATCTGAGCTGCTGAGACACTAGAGCTCCTGTCACTGTGGGTCTCCACTATGTGATGGGCTGAGTCACTTCTCAGCCCAGGGCTACATGCAGAATGGAAGGTCAAGGGCTGAGGCGCTGAGTCGGAGAACTCTCTCAGTACAGTTGACTGATCATACGACCTTGTCTTAGCACCACACACACACACACAAGCAGGTTCTCATTCTCTTTGGTGGACAACAAGACTTTGGAGGCTATAATCCAGAAGTTTCTTTTCTCAGAAAACTCCATGTGTTCACAAAAAAATTGTTCAAATAATGAGAAGGGGTGAACAGCCAAGAACAGCTCTGACTACAGTTCAGTGCTTAAAAGAAAAAGAAGTTCAATTCTTCCCGTTCTTATAACAATGGAATTCCAAAGGGTGCAGCCAAGCATGTTATCGATGCCCTTGACCTCTCAGAGTCCCTTCACAACTCAGATGTTGTAAGTCAGGATGAGCCCCAGCGTCCCTGTTTTTTTTTAAAGGCTTTGGGGGAATTCTAATGAGCAGACTCTCTTCTGTGGGCTCAGCTAGCCAGCCACCTGCAGGCTGAGCTGAGCCATCGCCCTGAGGGTGAATGGTCAGAGCTGGGACTTAGGGGTTGCCCTCACACAGGACCCCACCTGGCTTCTCGGGCCTGGTCTGTGCCATCTACCTCTGCCTGCCTTGTCTTGCAGCTGCTCCATACTGGCTGGACGAGCCCAAGAACCTGATCCTGGCTCCTGGTGAAGATGGGAGGCTAGTATGCCGAGCCAATGGGAACCCAAAGCCAACCGTACAGTGGATGGTGAATGGAGAACCTTTGCAATGTGAGTGGAGCTGCTGTCCTCCTCCGTGTGTTCCCTCTACCCTCCAGAGGTTTTGTTGGTGGCCGAATGTCCCAAGTAAAGGAAGCAGGTGGTTTCTTAGTGCTGCCACCAGAAGCCTTCCGCCGCAGGCATCTCAGAGGTAGAAAGCCTTCCTTATTTCTCAGGGAGAACAGGAGGCAAGTAGCCTAGAGCCTTTGCTTATGGTTCTGTGTTTGGAAATTTGTGCTTCTTTATTGTTTTCTTAACCTTTGCTTTCTGACCAATAACTCTAAAGCCCAGTGTAGAATCTGAAACTGCAGCTTCATCTTAGGTTTGGGCTCTGAGTAGGGCTTAGAAGATAAGGTCGTTAACCAATGATGGATCTGAGTCTCACTCTCTAACAAGGGCCAGTTAAAAGGCAGAGTTATGTGACAATGTGAAAGACTGTGGAAGAACCAAACATAAGTGTTTGGCGGAAATTTTGGTCCCATCCTGATGGACTGAATGGAGAGGTCTGATAATGTTGGTCCTGTTCTCACATCATATTCTGTCCAGTTGTCTTATTTTTAAATGTCTAGTCATTTCCTTCTTTAAGGACTTGGGAAAATGTGAGGCTATCAATCAGGGCAGTGGGAATTCAGGAGGCTGTAGAAAGAAGCTGCCTCAGTGTGATGCAGTTAAGAAAAAAAGCCCGGGAAAGAGTGAGCCCCAACCACAGGGCATCTGGTGCTGCTGAGGTGAAGCACAGGTGCAGGCAGCTCAGCCACAGTGGTGAAGTGTGACCAGCACACTTCTATACCTTCCTACTACTGTGACCCTCTAAAACAGTTCCTCATGTTGGGTGGCCCCAACCAGAAAATGATTTTGTTACTACTTTATAACTGTAATTTTGCTATGAATATAACTGTAAATTTGTTATGGATTATAATGTAAATATCTGATATGCAGGATATTTGATGTGAGAAAGGGGGTCTCAGCCAATAGGTTGAGAACTACTGATATATAGGGAAAGGTAGTCTCACCCTTAGTGGCCGGCAGCTCACCTTACCAACTGAGAATAACCTGAGGTCAGTGGGCGGGTGAATCTCAGCAGCCACCTGTCTGTTCCGTTCCGTCTGACCACTTGACCTACACAACCATCTCCACAGCAGGGAGGCTGGCACTGGGAGGTATGGAAAGAGCAATGGCAGGGCTGCCTGTAGCAAGGTCATGCCATGCCTGGGTCCCCACTCAGTGCATTCAGGGGAGACACTTCCAGTAAACATTTTCCACCCCAGGGTGCACACACTGTGGAGTACAGAGGAGAAGAAGAATGCAGCCCACAGACCACAAGGCTAAGTGTGGCCGACAAGGCCCCTGGTGTGCAGAGAAAGTGAAGACCACTCTGGCAGACACGATTCTTCTCCCATAACAAGCTCAGCAACAACACTAATCACAGACGAGACCAGGGTTACCAGCCTCTTACACTACCCCCAAACCCAAATCCACCAAATCTAATGGGTTCCAGCTGTCAAAGCCCCAGGAAGAAACTGCTCTAACTTTTTTTTTATCCACCTGTGTTTCACTTTTTCTTTCGGCTGTCTTTGCACTTCAGCTTATTTTTTTTAAACTTTTTTTTATTTTAGCATTATATTCTTTTTATATTTATCTACTTGTGTTGTGCATTTTTCATTGTTAGTATTTTCTTTTTTATTAGCCTCTTGTGTTTTCCCTTTCTTTTTGTATTGTACTGTTATTAGACTTTATCTTAGTTTTCAAATAAAGGCTCTGTGTGTGTGCAGGTTCACATATGATCTTTGCCAGAGGACTACTTTGAGTGTTATTCATCAGGAGCCGTTATCTTGTTTTTTGAGACAAGGGCTCTCGCTGGACTGGAACTTGCTAAGGAGGCTAGGCTGGCCTGCCAGGGAGCCCCAGAGATGCACTTGTCTCTGCCTCCCCATTGCTGGGATTGTAAAGCCGCCCTGTGCCTGGCTTCTTTACGTGGACTCTGAGATCAAAGCCAGGTCCTGATGCAGCAATCACTAATGAAGTGATGTCATCATGATCCTCATCCCAGAACAGTCTTCTATGTTGTTTCATTCTCATTCTTAAATTTTTGTCATTTTCTTTACAGTCTGTTCCATTAATGAGCCTGTGTTTAATCTCTTTTTCTTTCCCCTTCCCCTTCTGCATTCTACTAGACAATCTTCTCTTCTTCTAGCTAACCTTGTTTCTTGAATTTCCCCTTTCCCCGGACCCCTTCCTTTATCTCAACTATTTACTAATATTGTATGTACTCTAAATAATTTTCAGCTTCACAGCACACACTGCATTATTTTGCCGTTTTGTGTTCTATGGCCATTAGTGATGTATCCGTCGGCTTTAACCACCATTACGTGTATTTCTAGGCCAAGTATGGCTTGGTGTTGTTGCTGTCACAGCAATTTGTTGTCTCCTCTCTGAAGGCTTCTGGAAATTGAAAAGCACAATAAGAAGATACACAAATGAGGGGCTGGAGAGATGGCTCAGAGGTTAAGAGCACTGTCTGTTCCTCCAAAGGCCCTGAGTTCAATTCCCAGGAACCACATGGTGGCTCATAACCATCTATAATGAGATCTGGTGCCCTCTTCTGGTATGTAGGCATACATGCAGGCAGAATAGTATATAAATAAATAATAAATAAGTAAATCTTAAAAAAAAAAAAAAAAGATGCACAAATGAAACCCTAGGAGCTATCAGGACCAACAGATATGTAAATCACAGCTCAGACACACAAGGAATACAAACAAGCCAGCATGACCCCTGCAAAGGAACATGATTCCTCAGCCACTGAACTCATGAAATGAGTCACTTACAGATGTAAATGTTTGTGTGCAAAATGATCAGTGACTTCAAACATAATGGAAACAACCAGATGAATGAAGGGAGGAAATCAGCTCAGGATCAAGAGACAAAAGCCAGAAATATAGATGAAAAAGTCAGAAGAAAACACAGGAAAAAGTAAGCAATGTGAACAAGCAAGGAAACTGAGGTGTTTTTTTTTTTTAATCAAATAAAAATCCTGAAATGAAAAACACAATGAGTCAAGTAAAACAACACAATAGAAACCATCAACAGACCACACCATGAAGAAGAAAGACTATCAGGAGTAGAGGGAAAGGTCAAGGAAATCATCATCACTAAATTTAAACATCACTAACATCACTAAATTTTTTTTAAGTAAATAATATGAAAACAACTTCCAAAAATTCTGAGCTACAATCAAGAGATGAACCTAAGAATCCGGGAAGCAATAGAAAGAGCTGAGGTAAAAAACTAAAAGTATAGAACATCTATTCAGTGGAATTACAGAAGAAAACTTCCTAAATCTAACTGTAAATATAGTTACCTAACCCTAAGTTGGGGTTTCTATTGCTATGGTGAAACACCATGACAAAGGCAACCTGGGGGAAAGGAGTTTACTTGGCTTACCTTTCACATGATTGTTCGTCACCAAAGGACATCAGGGTAGGAACTAAAAGCTGGGTAGGAAAGAGAGGAAAATACTCCATAGTCTTGCCTACAACCCAATCTTACAGAGGCATTTTCTCAGTTGAGACTCCATGCCCTTCAGTGATTCTAGCTTGTATCAAGTCAACAAAAACTAGCCAGCACAAAAACAAAAAGGCATTTGTAACCCCGAATAGCCATGACCAGATATTGATGATACATCATGGGCAAGATGTCCAAAGTACCAATCAAACAATAGCAAAAGGTGTAAGAAAAAAATATCAACTCACAAATGCAGCAGAATGACATCAAACTTCAATACAATCCCTAAAAATGACCGTGTCAACCAACATTGCTACATCCATCAAACTTGTCTTTTAAATTTCATGGAGAAGAGCTGGCAATATGGCTCAGCCTGACAATCTGACTTTGATTTCACATGTTAGAAGAAGAGTGCTGATTCCTGTACATTTTCCTCTGACCTCCAGATGTATGCACAGCACATGCATACCTCACATTCACTAAATAAATGTAAAAAATGTAATTAAATAAGTTCGTGGAGAAATGAGGATGTTTTAAGACAAGCACAAATGAAAGCAATTTTTGGCCAGCAACCCACTCTGCAGAGATGCTTAAAGAAATCCTAAACACAAAGAGGAATAAAATGTCAGCCAAGAGAACCCAGCAAAGAATGTAACTTTCTTGTAAAGAATAAATGAATGAGCAAAGCTATGGAAGACTCCGTCCTGTCCAACACAGTAAACCAGCAAACCCCTAATACAAACTTAACAAGGACACACACACAAGCTATAAGGCCGGACATGATAGATCACTCAAGAGGCTGAGACAGAAGGATGGCTATGAGTTTAAGGCTAGCCTGAGCTACTTGATGAATTCCAGGCTAGTCTGGGCTAAAGGATGAGACTCTTTCTCAAGAAAAAAAAATATATAGTTGAAGACCAATTTCCCTGATAAACATAGATGAAAAAATTATCAATAAAACAGTTGCAGACTAAATTCAAGAACATGTCATGAAGATTACACATCAGAGTCAAGTTGGTTTCGTTCCAAGGATGTGGCAAGTTGGCTCAACATCAATAGCTGTAATACAACAGATAAAGAGACGTATGGATGGGGATCACAGCCATCTCAACCAACCCAGAAAGGCCTTGGACAAAGTCCAGCACTCCTTCCTGATAAGCCTTCCTAAAGGAGTTAAGAACAGGAGCATGCCTCAACACGATAAAGTCTGTGTTGACAAACCTATGAAACATTGTATTGAATGGGAATAACTGAAAACCTGTCTAAGAAAACTATGAGACAAGGTTGTCTGCTCTCCTAGTCACGATAGTACTTACAGCCTCAGTTGAGCAATAAGAAAAGACAAAAAAAAAAAAAAAGGGACACAAGTAAGAAAATAAGTCCCTATTTGCAGGTGACATAAACCTAGGAAAGAGTTTAGATTTGATAAATGATTCTGGCAAAGCAGCAGTATATGAAATCAATACACAAAGCTTTCTCTTACACCAATAGCAAACTTGCTGAGAAAA